CATAAACAACATTTATTTTACTCAAACAGGAAGCAGTTTCAAGATTGTAAAGTACTTTCCAGTTAGAAGTACATGAACAAAATGTACATACTCCTAAAGAGAGCCTGTCTGAAGTCAAAGGCACTTTAATGTTGCAACTATCTCTACCTAGATGGTGATACACATCATCTATTCAAATCATATAAAGTACGCCTAACGCACCCAGACAATGCTTGGGACATAATCCAATCATTTGACTATTGCACACGAGCAATCATCATTCTCATAGGAGTAAAAAGACGCTAACTAACAGTACCAACCCTGGTCCCAAAATATTTTAACAGAATTGTCTGGTTTAAAATCAGTCGTCTAATATTCTCTACAGGAAGATTAGGAACCAAGATGTCATACTCTGGGCTTAGAAAACATGAAAGAATTCTAGGACAGTAGGCACTGAGTAAAACAATCTTATAATCTGTTGCCACCGAGATGATTCTGACTGTGATCCTAGTAAGACAGAGTAGAACTGCTCCAAGTGTTCGCACAGACTCATCTTTACAGAAATAGACTGCCACATTTTTTTCTCCAAGGGAGCAGCTAGTGGGTTTGAACAATGGACCTTTCCATTTAACTACTGTCCCATCAGTGTATCTAAAACTTTTCAATTCTACCACATTCTAAGTAGCTGCAAACTTAAAAACATAATTTAGAAATGCTTACTATGCATTTAAAATGTCTAACATAAATTACTAATGGGTACTCACTGATTTATAGATATTTTTACCAAGTGAAATATAACAACATTACACTAACAAACATAAACCTAAATATACAGACAACAGTAAGTTATTGTATGGAATCTTACCTTTAATAAATCTGTCATGTGTTCAAGTCCAAGACCATGTAAAAATACATCCAGTTCTCCAAATGCTGTATATGAACTATGAATATTGATAGCAATGCCAACTTGAGAATACAGCAATATATACTTTTATATACTTATATTACAGTGAAAAAAAATGAATGTAAATGAATGCATGCAAAGAGCGTTTGTAAATTTACATACCAGACCTTTACTGTATTATAAAGGAATGAGTAAGGTTTCTTGAGTGAAGATATAAGACAGAACACGTTGATGATAAAATAGAATTTTATCTTTTCTCAGAACTATGATAATTAACAGTATGCATACCATGTGTCATTTGGACACAAAATAGTTTTCATTGTAGGAAGTGAAAATTAAGTAACAATCTTAAATATAGGTAAACAGAAAAATTTTAAGAACATGTAACACACAACTGTACTTAAAGCAAGAATTCTTTCCAATTTTACCTTAGAAAACCCACATAATGTTGAAAAAAATTGCAAATACAGATGCAATACAATTTGAACATTAACATAAATACAATCTGTAAGAAATAAATTTTGTTAATATAGTTAAGTTAAAAGTCACTGTCCTTAGTGTTAGTACACATAAAGTCTTCTATATTCTAGAGAATATATTACATATGAGATCTATACTATAAAACGTATGATTT